AATGTCTCTTCAACTCGTCCATAATGAAACAATGTCTCTTCAACTCGTCCCTAATGAAACAATGTCTCTTCAATAAAGGTAAATAAATGGGGAAGGGGTTAATAAAAACAAAGCTATGAACAGATGAATAAGCCTGCAGACAGCAGCCAGTTGGTGGCGAGGAACTCTTGCCCCGATTACAGCAGACGGCCCTGATACAGAGTGAGTGAGTGAATGAGTGAGTGAGTGAGTGAATGAGTGAGTGAGTGAGTGAGTGAGTGAGTGAATGAGTGAGTAAATGAGTTAATGAGTGAGTGAATGAGTGAATGAGTGAGTGAGTGAATGTGTGAGTGAGTGAGTGAGTAAATGAGTGAGTGAGTAAATGACTGAATGAACCAATAAAAGAGTGAATGAGTGAATGAATGAATGAATGAATGAGGGGACTGCTACACTGATTAATGAAACTGCTCTTTAGCTTTTGACATCGTTTGACATCAAAATGAAAGTTTGAATCTTAAAGATGAAGTTAAAATGTTTTAAACAGCTTTATGTTTGTTAGTTTTACTTTTCTGTGATCATGTTTTATATGTATTTATATATGTTTCTGTATTTATATATATTTATATGTATTTATATATGTTTCTGTATTTATATATATTTATATGTATTTATATATGTTTCTGTATTTATATATATTTATATGTATTTATATATGTTTCTGTATTTATATATATTTATATGTATTTATATATGTTTCTGTATTTATATGTATTTATATGTATTTATATATGTTTATGTATTTATATATATCTATATGTATTTATATATGTTTCTGTATTTATATATATTTATATGTATTTATATATGTTTATGTATTTATATATATCTATATGTATTTATATATGTTTCTGTATTTATATATATTTATATGTATTTATATATGTTTATGTATTTATATATATTTATATGTATCTATGGTGAACCCTAGAGTGAGTTATTATTAGTCAAACATTATATATTAAGCACGACAATTTATTATTAAAACTGTACATGTAACTATAAATACAGTGTTTGAATCAGTTTATGTCTAAATATGTAAAACACTATTCACAGATTTATATATAATAATAATAATAATAATAACAGAAATAATGAATTACAGTATTGATAACATCACCTATAAGTTGAGAATTATCTTTAATTACTATTATGATTATTATGATTATGATTATTATGATTATGATTATTATGATTATTATTATTATTGTTATTGTTGTTGTTGTTGTTGTTGTTCTTATTATCACTGTTTACAGTTGAACTGAAACTCTAAAATGCGGATTGTGTCTGTTTTAAACATTTTCCGAAATAACCTTTTTTACACATAAATAATGTTTATTGCCAAAACTAAAATACAAAAACATTTTATTACATTTTCTATATTCATTCATCAGGAAGATGTTTTGTTTTCTGATTTTCTTGAATGAGTTTGTAATTAAAGAAACAAACAGCGATTATTCATTAAAGGTTCAGTCTCTCCTGCAGACGGCGAGTTGGCTCAGAATGGTTTTTCCTTCATGAACTCGTCAGCGGAGAACAAACTCGCTCCTTCCTCCTCGACTGCGGAACAGAACCAGAGAAACAGTCGGAAACATCCAGAATCCTTTAAAGAGCAACTTCAGTTCAACGCTGCAGCTGAAACAGAAGAAATAAATCGGCTCCCGAACATTTCAACTGCTGCAAACAAACAAAAAAACAACTTAGTTTCCTAGAGCTCAGTGAGTTTTAGTGAGGAATGTGAACAGAATAGTTCTGCAGTTGTCCTGATGGTGGCGCTGTCAAACTGTAAAACAAGGTTTAAAGGTTTCCTGTGAATCTGTCGCGTGTGTTTGTGTGAGGGTGTTTTATATCCACTGTGAGAACGGACGGCTACAAAATACATGTCCTGGAGCTGCTTGAGCCCCCAACCAGGAGTCTCCTTTGTCCCCGACGTGGAGTTGCTTGTGCCCCCTTCCTCTCGGACAACTTCTGCTTTATTCTGACGTTAGCAGCAATGTGGGATGCAGTGAAAAGTATTTGAACTCCTTCCTAATCTAATCTAATCTAATCTAATCTAATCTTATCTTTTATTATTTGGCCCATTTTGACTCCAGATTATTGTCACTGAGGTCAATTTAATCAAACCACTAATGACATCATCTCACCTGGACCAGATTCACCATAAAGATCCTGATTGGCTGAAGAAGAATCCAATAACCTCCATCCCAACCCGACACGTCAGTTTGTCTTTAAAGACTCTTTTCCAGGTTTGTTGTTGTTTTTATTTACAGGTTTGTTGTTGTCTTTATTTACAGGTGTGCATGTCGTTCATGCTCTCACAACGCCTGCAGCGGACGTAGCAGCACCACACGAACTTGCACTCGCAGCGTTGGACGTGTCTGACCACATGTGTGTTGTATCCTCGGCCGCAGCACAGCAGGTTGCAGCCGTCGGAGCCGCTGGAGGTTCGATTGCAGCGGCGTCCTCTGGTGCCAGCGATGCCCCGCCTCCGGTCCTCCAGGCAGTAGTTTGGAGACTTGTTGAAGAAGATGAGCTGCTGTTTGTCGACGGGAAGGCGACGCTGATCCTTCCTCCTTGACTTCCTCCTGGAGCGGTCCGACACCTGGACGCTGTGCTCGTAGCGCTCCTTCAGGTACGCACCAACACGCTCAAATGGCGCCATCGTCTTCCAACACGTCTTCACCGCACAGGAGCCGGAGACGCCGTGACAGCGACAGTGTGTTGACATCGTCCTGTGAATCGCCTGAAGGACAGAGGAGATGAGACGACACTGAGTGAAGACATGAAGGACAGAAGAAGATCACTGGAGTCCCTCAGGGATCTATTCTAGGGCCTCTTTTATTTTATTTCTTTACTTTGCGAAGACATAACATTTTCTTTATTTTGATTATTGCCAAACCCAAACCAGAGTTGGTGATTGTTGAAAGACTAACAAAGTCTTTGGTGATTCTGTCCTTTTATGAAGCTATGTGGTAAAATTAGCGTTTTTGTCGAGCGACATCCAGTGAATGTTTTATATATAAGTGTTAAAAGATATTTAAGATAAATATTTAAGGCTGTTATTGTGAAGCACTTTGTAACTCTTTCATTACAATCGTATCAGTAACGTTCTCACCTGCCGTCCGACCTCGCCATTGTGCTGGTTCATGGTGACCACCGTGTACCCTCCTCTGACTGTCGACGTGTTTTTGGCGGCGTTGTCGATGAACTTGCGGCTGAACCAGGTCCCGTACTGGATGTGGTCTGAGCAGCCGCCCCACTGCCAGCCCTCTGCCGTCGACCCACCCTGCAGCCGCCCGTCGCAGCCGCACTCCGTCATATTGCCCTGACTGCAGGAGCGTGTGACGGTGTGGACCAGCCCTGCCGTCATCACTGCGTAGATAAACGCCGTTTCTTTGGTTCCTATTGGACGAGAGAGAGAGGGGGGCGGAGTCAGTATCCTGAGCTTTCAACCACACATTATGGTCTTAAAGTTGATCTTTGAAGACTTGAACTCATTGAACTCTGTTGGTGTTTCAGTTCAGTTCTGACTGTTGTAGATTAATAACGCCTCACATGCCTCTAATATAATATCCTGATACAAAACATGTGATCTGCTCATTTAGGACAGAATGTGACTGAGAAATACAATATCAGTTTAATATATCTGTACATTATTATCTGTAAATTACATTAGACCTCAACATACACGTCACTTTTACTGATATATAATATGTTTGTGAGGGAAATTCTCCTGCATTAAATAGAATTAAAGTTCCTATAAAATGACTGTAATTGAATTAAAGTTCAGCTTTAAGAACAAAAGAAACGTCTGCAGTCATGAGACAAACAGTCCTCAGTCTCTGACACTGTAGAATCCGTCCCATTCAAAACTCCTTTAGGTTTTTCAGCAATTTTCAAACAATTTGAATCTTTGTGGTTTTTCTTAATCCCGCTGGAATAAACTCAAATTTTCTGTATGTTTAATAAAAAAGCTGAAAGTACAATTGAGTACTTACTTCACTAAATACTGAGTCCTTAATAGACCGTACGTACGTAAGTAACTGAGTAGCTGAGTACTCACTTAAGTACAGACTCAGGCCTGACTAAGCGTAAGTAATCCACTCTATACTTAAACACTAAATACTTCGGCTCAGCTGTATTTAGGTTCAGCTACTGAGACTAAACAGTGTAAGTAATTAAATACTAACTATGTCCTAAAAGGCCACCATACAGAGGTTGAACTCTCTGGCTCCACCATCAGGAAAAACTTCTGAATAAACCAGTTTCTCTGGTGTGTTTAAGTTCTGTTGAACTACTGAGGAGAGAGAGAGGAAGAAGAAACGATGCGTTCAAGGTCCTCACCGCTCGTCAGCTCGTATCCGAACACGGAGGGGTCGTCCCTGGTGGAGCAGTTCCACCGCTCATGTCTGAACTGGCTCTGGCACTCTGCGATGGCGAGCCGGGCGCCATCCTGGATGCTGGGCAGCAGGAACGGTTTCTTCCGGCACAGGTCCCGCTGCTTGTGGCTGAAAGGGAGGTTAGCACAGCCCAGCTTCTCCGGGACTCCCGCCGGGGTCACACCCAACCACCTGAGGGGGGAAAGCACCAGCTTTAGATCCACTCACACCAAACTCTGTTCAAAATATTAACGTTTTAATACAGTTTTAATACTATAATTATTGTAATAGAATATAAAATATAATATTTATCAGGGAGGAAAAGTTCACATTTTATTTAAAGATACAGAATGGATCATAAGGCTCTAGAGGATATTTTATATTTAATAAATGTATTTATTTGTTTCTGAGCTGATAATCAGTTAATATCTTAATTGATTGAGTTTCAGTGGAGCTCAGATTTCTCAAATCTGTATTTGCATTAAAGCTTCACATGAAGACTGTATCTTATTTAAATGATCAGACAGACAAAAACCTAAAATACAGTAAAATAACAGAAAATAACTGTAATTAAAATACAGTTTTTAGCTTTAATTTTACATAAAATCTTGTGTACTTTTTATTTTAATGTTTAACTAAAGATATTTACAGTGTAAAACAATGAGCTATAAATCCAGGTGAACTCTGCTATAATACAAATAATCAGGCTTTACAGCAGAGTGCTGTTATTATTGGATTATTATTATTTTAATGTGAATGTTAAAAGTTATAGAACTGTAATAAAAGTCATTATCTGTGTAATTACAGTAATTATTGCTGTTTTCACTGATAGAAAACACATTATTTAACATTAGGTGTAAGTTCACAGGCTATTTTTGTTATTTTATTAATATTTCTATGTATTTAAAATCTGTAAAATGAACGGGACAGGGTTTCATAAATTTACTGAGCTCATGTGCAGATAGTGAATTATATTAATATACTTTTATAAATATAAAGTATATATATATAGTATATATATATATATATATATATATATATATATATATATATATAGTTTTATAAATATAAAGTATATATATATATTTATAAAAGTTGTGTTTTCCTGAGCAGGGAAGCTTAAAGTTGACATTATATAAAATGTAATTTGGTTTATTAGTTAACCGGTTTAAAGACTGAACAAAAAGCTCATATTTATATATATATATAAAGATATAACTGAAACTCTGGATCCAAATCACATTTTAGGCTGATTTCTATCTCTGATTCACTCAAATGAAAAACAGAGCATTAGATGGAAAGGATGATATTTTATTTACACACGAGCTATTTGGTGAATTTCATACACCCGAATTATAGAGTGAATCCAATCTCTCTAAAGACGGTAATTAATAATGTCTGAAGCGGTTTGTAACTGAGGAGAAACACATGAAAGTCTTAAATTCGCAGTTATAAAATGGAATTTGGCTTTAATGGAAAACGAGGCGGATGAACTCTTGAGGATGTTACATAAAAGTCAAATGTACTGAGGAACTGAGCAGATACACGAGGAAGCCTTAAACTGACAGTTTTTTAAGCGGAGTTCGGCTCTTTTGGATCTCGGGGGTTACTGCGTAAAACCAGCGCGCTGCTGCTCCAAAACGGCTCTGTATTTTATTCATTTTATTAAATGTTATTAATTTCATAAACCCGAATTATAGAGTGAATCTAATCGCTCTAAAAACGGTAATTAATAATACCTGAAGCGGTTTGTAACTGAGGAGAAACACATGAAAGTCTTAAATTCGCAGTTTTTAAAATGGAATTTGGCTTTAATGAAAAACGAGCCGGACGCGGACAAACTGCTGAGATTGTAACATAAAAGTCAAAAATCGTCTAACCAGTGCAGCAACTGAGCAGAGACACATGGAGCCTTAAAACGACCGTTTTCTAAACGGAGTTCGGCTCTTTTAGATATTGTGTAATTGCGTAAAACCAGCGCGCTCCAGCTCCACCGGGGCTCTGCCCTAACTCTAACCCCGGATTTTAAACTCAGTTCTGGTTGTTTGTGTCTGTGACTGTGGGGGAATCCCGGTTCATAATAATTAATAATAGTTCAGTATTGTGACATTATCTGCGTATCAAAGCAAAACAATGAATTTAATCCGGTCCGGCTCGGATCCCGTGGACCCGCATACTTACATCCAGCTGGCTCTGCAGCACAGGGGGCACACTGAGACCAGCAGCAGAGTCAGAGTGCACATGTGTCGGACTCCACAGCTCCTTCTCTCCATGACCTCCTCATCGATCTGCGCCGCCGGGCTGCGCTCTCGGTCTGTCCATCAGCAGGACTCTCTGGCTCATACTAAAACCCGGTCCAGGAACACATTCATTAATCCAGTTCTCGGCGCATCCTCCGTCCCCGCTGTCCCGCTCGATGAGTCCCCCCTGGTGGACCTCGTTCAGCTTCCAGTCCACTTTGTGTTCTGCGGGAGAAGAAGCAGGACCGGGTGGACCAGTCTGAGTTCCGGAGGATCCTCATTGGACCAGCACAGGATTCATATTCAGCAGCTGACGTCACAGCTGGACGCTAATTGGACGGACCGGAAGATCAAAGGACAGACTGACACTGGATCCCAAAGATTCATATTTTCAGTCCAAAACTTTAAAATGCTCGATTTGTGAATGAGGTTTGGTGTAAAAGGTTCGGTTGATCAGAACCTAGTGGTCAAAACAAGGACCCCAAACACCCACCAAACTCCATTCAAATAAGTCTTAATTTAACACCGTCAGGATATTTAAAATACACATTATACCATATGGTAAAACCACAACGCTGACATTTTATAAAATAACTACTAACCTCTCTATGACGATATTACAATTGATCTTTGATTATTACAAAATAGATTCAGGCAACTTCTTCAAGGCAGTGAGAGATTAGAAAACTCTTAACTAATTGATTTTTGAATAGAGTTTGGTGTAAGGGTTCTGTTGATCAGAACGGAACACATCCCGAAGTGGCCGAAACCAGGAGCCTAAAAACCAAACCAAACTCCATTCAAATGTTAGTCGGTTTAACATTTAAATTTAAAAATGCATTTTACAAAATAACTGCTACTGCTGGTGACTGCTGCATTTCCTGCTTAATTATCGATTTTACAATTGATAAGGATATTTAAAATACACATTATACCATATGGTAAAACCACAACACAGACATTTTATAAAATAACTGCTAACCTCTCTATGACGATATTACAATTGATCTGTGATTATTACAAAATAAATTATGTCAACTTCTTCAAGGCAGTGAGCGATTAGAAAACTCTTAATTGATTTAAATAGAGTTTTGGTATTGGGTTTAGGTTCATTAGGGTTCATAAGACACATGATAGTGCCCAAAACAAAGATTAAAAACCCCAAAACATCACACCAAACTCCATTCAAATGTTTCTCAATTTAATATTATCAAAAATGTGCACTTGGTGTAAGAAAAGACAATATATATATATATATTGGCCAATAAAACAACAGTTTCCAAGTTCTAGAAACAATTTTAAGTGAATCAGATGAAAAAGAGTTCTTATGTTTGGATTTCCTGACTGAACTTTCTTATTTTCTCTTCAACAAAACCAAAAAACGACCCTGATAACGACGAGTGAGTTCAGACATGAAGACAGGAAGGAATCAGCTGATAAAAACAGTTTTATGATACAAACAACTTTATGGAAAAGATATATTAAAACGTATAAAGACACAATTTACACAGCTGTTAACAAATGGCGAATTTCTTAAAGTTTTAAGTACAAAAACAGATTTTGAATTGAGAATATTTTTTTAAACATTTATGGAATAAACAGAAGGAAAAGGTACAGTCGAGAGTTAAAATAAAAACAGATTTCATGTCTTCACAGTTGGATTTGTTTCTGATAAATTGTGTTTGTGTCTTTTTGCTTTCTGGCAGGAGGAGAATCGTAACATTCATATAAATATTCATATATTCTATTTTCCAGCATGTAAACATGTTTAGAAATAAAAGGCACAATATACATCTGTAGAAAAATATAGAAAATATAAGCAGAGAATCAAATAAGACATTTATGTCACGTGATAAACGCAGTTATCATCGAGTCTTTGGTGTCGAATATTATCTGATATACACAATAAAGTCAATGACTGAGGTATATAAATATAAATATATGTGGAGGAGAGCAGGACCACATCAGTCCGATACTCATGGTTACATACGAGAACCATGAAAACTAGCTGATGTGTGCTAGACGCTAATTAGTACACATCAGTTAGCAAGTATATAAACTAGCTACTTTAAATAGCTGATCGACATTAAAACTAGTTATTACGCATAAGAAAGAAGCTGGTACACATTAATAACCAGCTAGTGCTCACTAGAGCTGGTAGCTGGTGCGCATTAGAAACCAGCTGACTGGGAGTAAAACATAGTCGGTGCGTTTGAACTCGTTTGCATCAGTAACCATCAGGCGCTCATTAGAAAGCAGTCGGTGCAGAATCACAATGAAAAGCTTCTGAAAAGAAAACAGTTTGTGTTGGTTATGATGAGAAAATATTTAGTGTTTTTGTACTCCTGGGAAACTATTTCAGGCACTTTTGGTGATTTTCTGTCTCTTAATGTTTCCACCTTATTGGACCTTCAGCTCTGGAAGTTTGTTTCTGTCCCTTTAAGAGTTTGTTTTATGTTGAAGATATTGAATGTACAGTCACCCCTCCGAGTCCTGGAAAACAACAAAGTGGAAAATCTTTTTACTTGTTCAGGTATAAAAACTCTCTCAGCTTTAGTTTCTGGTTTTGGGACACAGGCGGCTTAGCAGGATCTCAGAGTACACCTGGTTCACTGGTCCTCTCACGTGATAGGACAAGGCTTTAGGCCACGCCCCCTGGTCGGTGTCCGGCACGGTTGATTGGCTGCTGAGTCCGGGTACGGTTCTGGTGGATCCGGTTCCGTTGGTTGTGGATGTCATGTCGTCTGAAAACTTGGAGGTCCAAAACTTCTCCACCTGTGAGCGCAGAAGAAGAGGTTTTAATAATATTTGGTAACGAGGTTCAGAATCATGAGATGAAAGCTGAGTTTTCATTGGCTGACAGCTGACAGGTCTAAATCCGGACTTTAGACCGTTTCTGTCACTGTTTTAGTCACATTTTCAATTTACAGGTAGAAATACATTGTGGAAACAGCAGAGTTTGAATAAATAGTCCGAGGTATAGAGTTCTGTATCGTCGGCATAAAGTGACATTTGACATCACGCTGACTAATAATGTTTCCAAGATGGGACAAATACATAAAAAAAGAAGAGGACCCAGAATGTGTCCTTGAGGAAGACCATGACAGGCTCCCTCAGGCTTCCTGCTCTTTTTAAGAAATCATTTTCAAGGACATATTTTTACACAAACTCGCTTTCATGCTGTTCTCACTCACTGTGATTCGACTAGTTTACGAAAGTTTTACTTTAATCTAGGTTTACAAAGGTGATCTGAGTGAGCGGCTAAAATACAATAAAACATTCCAGGACAACATATATTATTTCCAGGTGTTTCCAGGACTAGAAAACTAGTCTGTTTAATCAATATTAAATAATGAAACCTGAGCCACATTAGAATGAGATCCAGAGTCAGTAATTTAAAGCTCCTACAAGAAACTTTTATTTAGTGTAGATTATGGCGCCCCCTGTGGGCAACAGTGGCAATGTTTCTACCGCCTAATTTTATTGATTTCAAGGGGAATCCAATCTTCTCTGTTTATAGGTCATATAAAGGCTTCAGTATTAAACTGAGACCGTTTTATAACCAATGTAAAAAAAATCTGATTACTAACTACACTGTAAAAAAAAGTTGCGAAAACCTCAGATCTTTGACTTTTAAGTCAAATATCAAACATTTTTAAATAAACTAATAATTAATGAGAACAATTAGAACAACTTAAATCTTTACTTAAATATTTTCAATTGCAACTATTTCATTTCCAAGCACCAAAATAATGAAAAATCAATTAACAATTTTAGAAATACAATTTTTTTTGTTTATAAAACTCAAAGATTTATGTTTTTCTGAAGAAGAAAGTAAATTAAAATAGAATATAATTTGGCATAACCTTATAGTTTATTACAAAACTGTTTTCTGTTTCTGTTTGTCGTATCTGCAGCAGCTGTAACAAGTGAATTGCTTATCTTGATTTTTGATCTGTTTATATCTGTAATACTACTACTACTAATAACAACAACAACAATAATAATAGAGGACCAAAAAGAGAGTAATTATCTGTTTTCAAACTATTATAGAACATATGAAAGATAATAAAGTTATCAGGACTTAATAAAACTCATCTTATGGATTTGACTCTTAATCTTATAGTTGGTGTCTGGGAGAAGTTTATTTTGAAATGTGAGGTGTTTGCAACAATCTTCTAACAAACATTTTTTAATCCTAAAACTAAAGCAGAAGTTAAATTATAATCTAGTGAAATATCTCCCAGAATGCAACAGAAATATTTCTGCTGCTTTGGGCTCAGACGTGTTTTAAATGTGTTGAACATCCAGATGTTCAGAAACCACAACAGCTGCTCTCAGTGTGCTTTTTATGAAGCAGTAAAAGTTGCTCTAATTGGTAATTACACATTCACTCCCTCACAGGCTGATCTGATGTGACAACACAAAGCACATTTCTAACAGGAAGTGGAAGCGGTGAGTGTTTACTTCTAGAAAGCTCTAATTTCCTCTGCGATCACAAACTGATGATTTCATTTTATTTGTTTCATTAGTTCAAACTTTTGGGACGATCATCAAACCGACTTTAGGCTGTAAATGTGGTCTGTGGTGCTGCGTCACTGCAGCAATAAATGATAAAATAAAAATTAATTACATTTGTAATTCGTCTTTAAACATATAAATTACATTTCCAGATTCATTTGATTGTTTTATTTTGTTATTCCTGTTGACAGCTGGAGGAGAAGAAACTCTAAGCTGTTCCTGTCAAAGTGATAGATAGATAGATAGATAGATAGATAGATAGATAGATAGATAGATACTTTATTGATACCCAGGGGGAAATTAAGGAGGTTGAAGAGGAACGAGAGTTCAACCTTGAGGACTGTTTAGTGGTCCACCTTTTTTTTAATTTCCCCTTTTTAAAAAATTTTTAAAACAATGAACCGAACAGTGAACAACAACTGCAGGACGTTCGTGGAAAACCAGAGATTTGGATGAATTCTATATAATTCTCTTTCGGTGTTGTTTTTTAACAATCATACAGACTTTACTGGCTGCTTTTTCACCAGTTCACTGTTTTCTTCTCCCTGATACGAGGTCATTGTGCTCATACAGCTCGTGTTCAGGTCATCAGAGATCAGATCTTAAATAATATCTTTAGTTTTCTTTATAAAACTGAACACAATGATGAGATTTCGGCCTACTGTGTAAATTCCTTAGTTTTCTTACAACCTCAAAACAAGAAGGGCTTACGATCACCTGTGAAGTTTTGGCGACCCCAAGCGGGAGTCGCGACCTCCAGGTTGGGACCCAGTGGTTTAATGGATCAATACAGATATTGATTACTGATCTGTGTTACCTCATGAAAGTGGCAGGCGCATCGTCCCTGCAGGAACTCTTTGTATCGGCCCATTGTGATGCCGAATGTGTCGATCACCTCGTACCCATAATGCTTTGCTGTGGTGATGATGTTACGGTTCTCTCTGTAGAGCTCCTGGATCTCTTTCTGGAAGATCAAATGCCAAACAACAAACAACAAACAAACAAACAAACAAGCAAACAGATCCACATTAGGAGAAAGGTTCCTGTAAAGGAATCCACGTGGAGAACAAACAGAGTCGTACCAGACTGAGCGAGCGGATCCCGTCTACAGGAAGGTGGAAACCCATCCCCAAAGACTTCACCACCACCGCGATGTCGCTCAGAGACTCCCTGAGGAGGGAAAACATCTAGGTTTTATATTTTATTCACAAAAATGTGACATAAGACAATAAACACAAAAAACACAATAAACATCAGCATGTTAACATGCTAACGTTCAGCGTGTTAGCATTGTCATTGTGGGTATGTTAGCATTCAGTCAGTGACGTATCATCAGTGCACTGCAGATTCTCACCTGTCCAGCACCTCTCTGACCGTCCTCAGGTGATCAGTGTTGAGCCACTGGACTCCTCCCACCACCAGCACGGTCAGGTTAGAGTTCACCAGAGGTCGTGACCTTTGGGGAAGAAACTCATCAGCACATAGACCTCACGCTGATGCATCACGCTGTGACCTCACGCTGTGACCTCACGCTGTGACCTCACGCTGTGACCTCAGCAGATCTCACCTGTGGAGCAGCTGCAGCAGGGCCTGTCTGAAGGTGGGTCTCTGGCTCTTCTCCAGCCAGAACTGAGGATAATACGAGTAGCCGACCAGAGTTCGTCCTCCGTTCAGGTTCCTGTAGACCAGCGTGTCGTGAGCCTTCCCCCAGTCCTCCAGACTGGAGTTCACCCGCTCCATCAGGAAGTACATCATCCCGCGATTGGTCGAGTCGCCGATAAACAGCACCTGAGGACGGACGGGAACAGGTGATACAGGTGACCTGATTCCACCAACCCACCACTCCGGTTCGCTTTACTGATCTCACCTTCCTGTCCGTCATACAGTCCTGCAGCAGGGGGCGGTCCACTATCGGGTGGTAACAGCCGTCTGGTTGCCAGGCAACCTCCCTCCAATCACACGTCCTGTTGTCAGAACAGCTGAGACACGGAACCACCCACCGACCTGAGACAGGTGAGCAGTGACGTTCAATGGGACGGTTCTTTTACATTCGGAGCTGCAGTCAGGATGTTGTTAGCGTAGCTTAGCATCAAAAAAGAGAGCTAAAAACCATAATTACATCTGAATCTCTGTCAGGTCAAACAGATCAATAAAAAAACATTTAATTTACAATCAATAGAATTTGTTTAGTTTGGAGACAAACAGAAATGTTCCTGTTGTAACTGTTTAAAGTTCAACTCTAAAAGAAAAAATACATATTTATGTACAAATAAAGTATATTTAACTATCATATGTCTGTAAAATAAATATAATAATATATAAATAATAACAATATATTTATATATAATGTGAAAGTGTTGATCTTCACAGGTGAGATACAGGAAGTGACATCAGACCTGGTACGTGTCCCGAGCTGCAGGTCTGAAGTGAACTCTGAGACTCGATGAAAGGCTGGAGACCGCAGGGCCGACCCGGCTGAACCAGCAGACCACAGTCCTGAAACACACAGAGGCCAGAACAGGAAGGGGGTCAGGTCTCTGGACCTCCACTGAGACGTGGGAGCAGAAATGGAATCAGTCTGAATCTGAAATATTAGTTCATTAAAGTTTTGGTTCTCTTGTTCCTGAACACTTGAAGGAAATTAATCCTGTTTCTTTAAGAACTCGTTTCAGCACAAACAGATGACCTGAGAGATTTCCCAGAATGCAACAGGAGGACAGTGAGGTAGCAGCTCATCAGCGGCTCCACTCAAACATCTTCTTCTTCCTCTTCTCCTCTTTTGTCCACAGATCTTTGCGACCCTCTCCCTCTCTCAGAGGTCAGAGGTCAGATAAACCCGACCGGCTCGGCTCGGGGGCCCCGTGGGAGCCGCCACGTCTGGCCCCGACTTCAGAGCTGCCGCCGCTGTCACGCACACACACTCTTCTTCTTCTGCCGCCGCAGGTTTCAACGCAGCGGCGCCACATTCCGCACGGTGGCGTCGCAGCTCACAACAAAGTGCGACAAGAAAACTTAACAGGGATTTTCTTGTTCGTACCTGAGCTCAGTGTAAACGCTCAAACAGACGGGACGCTGGTCTGAGAGCGGCCGCCGCCCAGCGCCAAAGCGCACCCACAGGCAGCCACTGAGAAACGCTGCCGCCACCTTTCATCACACAACAAACGGCCATCTCAGAGCTCACTGCCACGTCGGCGGCGGGAAAGCTTTTGTTTTCCTGTTCGAGGGACTTAAAGAAATCTGTGCGCTTTATTTTGAAAAGATAGAAAGAAAGAAAGAAAGAAAGAAAGAACAAAGAACAAACAAAACGTTCACATCAGAGTTCCTGTTTTCAATCAGTCAGTTTCTGTGAGCTCGTAACAGCGTCTTGTTCTAATGAGGAACCTTACAAAGAAATCTGTGCACTTTATTTTGAAAGACAGAAAAACACAAACAAATAAATAAATAAACAAAACTTTCACATCAGAGTTTCTTCCTGTTTTCAGTGAATCAGTTTCTGTTTTTAGTTCATTAATTGGTTGTGGTCACTAATGAGGAACATTTTAAATAGGATTTATTTGTTGTTTTGTGTCTTAAAATAAAATCTCTAAAATCACTAAAGAGGAGAATAAGAGAATAAATACAAACAATAACTTTTTCTATTTGAGAAATGTTCTGTTTGACTTCCTGTTTATAACTTGGATTCATTTAATTGTTTAAATTTGATATTTTGAACTTTAAAAGAAAAATAATGATTTAATTATTTTGATCAAACATTGATATTTGAGTTGGTGGAAGATACATTTACTCCATATCCTTCTCTGGCCTATTTATTTTAGTTTTACAACTTCTAATAAAATTATGTTCAATAAATGAGCCACATTGAGTTCGGGGGAATTAGCTTTTCCTCGAAGGTATTTTTAATTAAAACATACCCACTTATTTAATAATTAAAACAAGTTTTTAAGTTTATTAGACTACTTAAAATTAACTTGTTCCAATCAACATTATTTATGTCAACACAACTCATCCAAATAATTCATTATGTATCATTATTTTACCAATATATGACAAATTAATTAAACACAAGAACATTTAAAAATAAATGTAAATAAAATAAATAATGCCTGTTTTTATTCTGTAAATGTGTTTTTATTACAATGTTTTGTATTTATTGTTGTTTTAGAGTCACACAGACAGGTTAATAATATTATTTAACATTATTTAACATTATTTAACTGACCTTGATTTGTTTTCCATGTTATGAAGTCATAGGTGATTTGGGCTGCGATGGATTGTTAAAGTTGAATCTAATAAAAAGTGAAACTCGCGGGAAGCAAAAGATTTTCTCTCCAGCAGAAACACAGAAATAATCCTGTTTGATCAAAGACTGGAACTGATCCAGGATCTGATCTGATGTGACTCTCTGAGCAAACCGGGCCCATAATCCGGATCAACTCATCAGATGATACAAACTTCTGCTGCCTTATCAGGACACACAGACTTCCTGAAACAGGACGGGCTGAGAACACACCGGAAAATATCAGAACACATCGGAAAATATCAGAAAATATTGGAAAATGAAACTGGAAGAAATAATGATTAAAACAGCAACAAGAACACTACAGGTTAAGAGGACGCTGCGGGTTAACGAGGACACTACAGGTTAAGGAGGACGCTGCGGGTTAACGAGGACACTACAGGTTAAGGAGGACACTGCGGGTTAACGAGGACACTACAGGTTAAGGAGGACACTGCGGGTTAAGGAGGACGCTGCGGGTTAATGAGGACACTACAGGTTAAGGAGGACACTGCAGGTTAAGGAGGACGCTGCGGGTTAACGAGGACACTGCAGGTTAACGAGGACAGCGGGTTAATGAGGACTCTGCAGGTTGACAGGGACGCTGCGGGTTAAGAGGACACTGCAGGTTAACGAGGACACTGCAGGTTAACAAGGACACTGCAGGTTAACGAGGACCAGGTTAATGAGGACACTGCAGGTTAATGAGGACACCGGGTTAACGAGGACGCTGCAGGTTGATGAGGATGCTGCAGATTGACGAGGATGCTGCAGGTTAACGAGGACACTGCAGGTTAACAAGGACACTGCAGGTTGACGAGGACGCTGCAGATTGACGAGGATGCTGCGGGTTAATGAGGACACCGGGTTAGGAGGACGCTGCAGGTTAACAAGGACGCTGCGGGTTAACGAGGACGCTGCGGGTAACGAGGACGCCGGGTTGACGAGGACGCTGCGGGTTAACGAGGACGCTGCGGGTTAACGAGGACGCTGCGGGTTAACGAGGACGCTGCGGGTTAATGAGGACACCGGGTTGACGAGGACGCTGCGGGTTGACGAGGACGCTGCAGGTTGACGAGGATAAATGGAAGTGAAACTCAGTTTGTGTCTCAGTCGTCATGTTGACGTGTTTTTAAGCGGCAGCAGCAGGTTGGAGTGAAACAGAAGAAGAAAACAGAAAAGTTAATGTTTGTTGAACCTCTGACAGTCAGAGTTCAGATTCTTTCTGTCGTTTATCTGAATTTATTCCGTCAAGCTGCTGATTGCAAACATGTGGACTGTGTGTTGGATTCCACTGCAGAACAGCGGGAGGTGTTCTCTCTTCGTGACTGATGGAGGATTCCTGTTTTAACACACCGCTCAGCACAGCGCTGTGAGGATGTAGTTTGAGATATTTCTATGTGAAGGTTTATGTAACACAGTTATTGAGGTTGCACGTATACGAGGTCATTGTGACACTGTAACTAAAAAACAATAATCATAAAATCTCATTAAAATACTGTTTCAAGGCTAATCATACCGTTAGCTTAGCATTAGCTTCCCCAACAAGCTAACAGAGGATTGTTACTGCTAATTGTTAAACAGTCTAACGGCTAACATGCTAGTGCTAGCGTTCTGTTTACAGCTAAGCTCATTAGCGTCCGAGCTCTGAGTGACGACTGGGTGAAGGGTGTTCAGTGAGCTGAGATCCTGGATCTGGTCCATCAGCAGAGATTAGATCATGATTCAGAGATTCGGGCCAACAGACGCCTGCTCCCGTCGTTCATCTGGGATGTCGTTACCATGGAAACCACGCCTCATTAACCCTCGCTGTGCCGCGCTGAATACACTCCGAGCTGCCGTGGCAACACCAGCAACCAACCAGTGATTTGATTTTTCACGCTCGGAGAGGGAACAAAGTTTTTGTCGTGTTGAATAAAAATGAGCAGCAGGAAGAAAAACACCAACAGCAGTAATTCACCTCCTGCGGCCAATCAGAACGCAGCATTCAGCCTCAGTGATAAGAAACAGAAACGCTCAGTAGCCGACAGGAACAGACAAATGTTTGTCATAAAAGTGTTTTCATCTGTTCACGCACATGTTACATCACACACGTTTAACGACAAACACATTAAAAGACAGACGCAGGAGGAATAAAGTCTCATTAAGTTTTATAATTAAAATCACAGCTGGACTTTATTGATCCCAGAACCTGATCAGGAAACAGATCCTCTCCATATGAGCCTGTGTGCAACATGTTTTACACATTATGTAAAACATAAACATGTTAATGTTTATAATGATGCCTTTACTAATAATAACATTCATTTTTATTATTATTACACATAAATAAACTGTTTCATATCAGAGGTGGTCCGCCACCGTTAGCACCTTTAAATCTGTAACATTTCCTCATTAAACTATAAACTCTGTAGAGGGTTGGGGTAACTGTGTAGAGGGTTAGGGTAACTCTGTAGAGGGTTGGGGTAACTCTGTAGAGGGTTAGGGTAACTGTGTAGAGGGTTAGGGTAACTCTATAGAGGGTTAGGGTAACTGTGTAGAGGGTTGGGGTAAACAAGAGTTGAAGAGATGTTTGTTACCCGTTATTGTTTGATGGACAGAAATAATCTCAACCCTACCAACAATAACTTCATCTACAGATTCGCTGTTAATAATCACATCATCAAGCTTCTCCCAGCTAGCATAATGTTGACTATGCTAACGGTTTTTATGTATTATAACAACAAATCTGTTTAAACTAATAAGCATAAATAACGTTTATTCGGACGTTAGCTAGTTTGTTGTCGGAGGGAATGAGGATCAGCTGACGTCATTTACACGTCACAGAAACTGTGGTAGCGGAAGTTAGCCGTTAGCAGTTGCTATGAGCAGGTTTTTACATTTTTAACTTGAATATGTCGATTTAAGAGTTTTTATTTCTATAAATCGACAAATAACAACCTGAACAGCTTCTTCATCTCTTCAGAACTCGGTAACATATTTTTCTGCTTTCTTTGAATATACAGTGGGTACGGAAAGTATTCAGACCCCTTTAAAATGTTCACTCTTTGTTTCATTGCAGCCATTTGCTAAAATCAAAAAAGTTCATTTTATTTCTCATTAATGTACACTCAGCACCCCATCTTGACAGAAAAAAACAGAAATGTAGAAATTTTTGCAAATTTATTAAAAAAGAAAAAGTGAAATATCACAAAAATGTAAAGGGGTCTGAATACTTTCCGTACCCACTGTATTTGGTAGCTCGCTAGTAGTGTTGAGCAGTTGGATTCAGGAAGTCTATTGCTGGTTGTTTTTTTGTTTTGGGGCAATTATCTTTGAGTTTATTATTATCAGCCTACATTGTTTAGATCTTGGTGGTCATACATTGACTGTTGATCCAGTGTGAAGCCACATTGTTACCATCCACTGTTTAGATCTTGGTGCTTTTTAACTCTAGATTTGAACCGGATGAAGGATTTTAGTCATCGGACGTCTGGATCTTAAGTTATCAGAGAAACAAGCTGAGCTAACGTTAGCAGCAGCTCGGCTCGCAGCCCCTCCGGGACGTCCTTTGTCTGTCCAACAGCGTGGGAGAAGCAGTGATTGTTAAGGTGGAACTGCTTTATTCAGTGTGTTTAAGGTGGAACTGCTTTATTCAGTGTGTTTAGTGGTTTTAATCAGCGGGTCTGTTTGTGTTGGAGAGGAGGAGACCTCTGTGGATCATTGGGCTCCCGGTAGAAACCTCCTGAACGACCCTTTGGGGAACAACACTGAACCCTGAATCGTTGTTAAGATGAGCCGGTGAGCACCTGTTGGCTCTACCTGTCGTCGGCAGACAGCAGCTTTCATTTTATCTTCAAAGAGCCGACGAGAGCCACACAGCATCAATGGCCTCTCTGTTCTCCTGGGGCCCGATCGGGGGCCCCCACTGACCCCACGGCATGGTGAGTGAACACCTACTCTCTTCATCAGGCTGACTGAGCCCCACAGGTGGATCAGAGAGGACAGGTGAGGGATGAAGAAGACAGAGACTCAGAGAACATGAAGAAACTGAAGGCGTGAATATGCTGAAAACACGCAGCAGCAAACAGACGGAAAGAATCAAACTCCGACAATCGCTGGTCTCTAAAGACCATCAAGAATGCAGGAAAATTCAAACCAAGTTATGTGTGTGTGTGTTTCACAGCTTCACTTCCTCACAGCCAAACTGCAGCTTTTATACAAAACAGATGGAAATATGTTTCAGATAAAAGTCTCGTTCCCACAGCAGCCAGAAAGTCAACAACACATCTCCTTACAGTAGGACCAACTTATATTAAACAACTAACTAACACACACTTCTTATTATTTATGAAGTCTCTGACCAGTGATTGGTGGACACTGAGATTAAAGCTTCCTTATCTCTCCATAATAATCAGTGTGTGTGTGTGTGTGTGTGTGTGTGTGTGTGTGTGTGTGTGTGTGTGTGTGTGAGAACAGGTTGTAGTGTAGCTTTGTCCCTCTGCTGTCTGTGGACTGATCTCTATGTGTCTCTATGTAGGATGAGGGTCAAAGGTTGTGACCTTTATGCTCCCGAGTGCCTTCTCTCTCCGCTTCCCTACAGTGCCAACAGTGGGCAACACAGAGTCCAACACAGAGTCCACAACACAGAGTCCACAACACAGAGTCCAACACAGAGTCCACAACACAGAGTCCAAAGTCAAAGCTACAATGCTAGCTACTACAGAGCCACCGGTTAGGCTCCGCCCACAAAATACATCATAGTCTATAAGTCACAATCATTTATTAAATACTGAAGAAAAACAATATATAAAGTGTTTTTGTGGCTTTTATAGTTCTGTTCTTTGTGTATTTGATGTTTTTGGTTTTGGAGGAACTCACTAATTCAACCCGGCTGCTCCGTATTGACGAACATTAAACGAGCTGCAGAAATCTACTGGAACCATAACAGCAGCTCTGACAGTCAAACATGTGTAGACTCTCTGCAGGGCTCGGTTCTCTTGTGGCTGCGTGTTATTTGGACTCGAACACATTTGCACCTCATTTCCTTTGAATTCCTCACATTCTCTCTAACAGCAGAACAACCTGGTCTGAGCGGGAAACGTGAGTCTGCATCCACAATCAGTCCAACCAGCACTGAGGCCCATCACACACTGCTCTGCTCTCCAGACGCCGCTTGTCTCTCGGAACCTCACAGCTTTCCAGGGATGGACGGGTGCGGACTCGGTCTGAGGCTCTGAGCAGGAGGAAGGAGGTGAACGTACGCTGTGGTTCACACCTTCTGCTGTACTCATGTTAACAACGTTAACAAGCTAGCTGCAACCGAGCCACGCTGGATAACGTTATCCGTCGTTTGTAGACGTTAGCGGACTCCACTTTCAACAACAACAACAACAACAACAAGAACATTGTTTATTTATTTGGTGATCTCTCAGTTTCCCTCCGGTCCATTATCACTTCCTGCCCCGCCCACAGCCCAGCAGCCAATAGGAAGACTCACCTGCACGAAGCTGCACATCACATGATCCCCGAACATGGGCAGACTGGGTCGGCTCTCGCGGTACACGTGGACGGTGTAGATCGTCATGACGACAGGCTCCGGCTCAGCATCGTCCGTCACCAGGATGCTGATCCGGCTGTTGCCGAGGCCGACCGGGTAGTTCGCCATCCTGGAGGAAAACAACAACCTTCAGCAGTCTGTTCTGTGAGGTCAGAGGTCAGGGGTTAGGGGTCCTGGTCTCACCTACCTGGGGCCTCGGTGCTCGTCCAGGTGGACCCGGCAGGCCGAGCTGATGGGCTCGGGCCGGATTCGAACCGTCACCGTGTCAAAGGTCACCTCGGCGCGATACTCCTTCACCCGGGGGCTGAAGGGCGGGGTCAGCGTGAGGGGGGGGTCGGTGTAGATCTGTCTGAGGTGGGGGTCCACGCAGGGACCTGAACAACAATGAAAACCATTATGGAGACTCTGGAGCCGGCTGGTGGCCGTCAGAGGAACTGCAGCTTTTGGTAGTTTGTTGATTAAAGTCTCACCTTCGGCTCCTTCCTGTGGATCAGACAGCGCTGACTCCTGATTGGTCAGTTCGTCCTCAGTGCTGGAAGAAACATCGTCAGTCATCACTCGTTATATTGGTTTATTGATTCATGATCAGATTTACAGACTCACCTGCAGCTGTGGTTTCTCTGAAGCTCGTAGTAACGGCTGATCCTGATCAGAAGATCAGAGACGCTGAGAGGACCAGAGGAGGAGGAGGAGGAGGAGGAGGAGGAGGAGATGCTGGGATACAGCTACAGACAAAGAACAATTAGTTAATTAATTAAAACTAATTAGTAAACTGTTAATCAGAACAGGAACAGAGTTAAAGCAACCAGGCTGATCTGTTTCTGTCCCTCAGGGATCCATTCTGGGGCCCATTTTATTGTCACTGTATGAATGTTTCAACAGGTTAAATTTAACTTTTTAAGACCTTTTAAAGATCACAATGAGTAAAATTTAGTGAGACCTATTTTACGCCCAAACTGACAAAAATGTACAAAGATATTTTGGTTACAGCATCATCAAAATTTCCCCAAAAACACATTTAAAAGTGAAACTGAATAATTCAGTAATTCAAAAAGTAATGTTAACTACATTAATCCAATTAACCTTTAGGACACAACTAAATCGTAGTCATCTTAGTTTTTAACAGGTACAGTGTAAAAAAGAAAAGTTGAGACTGTTTACAAAACCTTTAAGTTTAAAGTCAAACTTGAACTATTACATTTTAGTTGATATAATTTACCTATCTTTTTTAGAAAAAACTTAAATCTTTGAGTCAGAAATTGTTCACAGTGTGAACTGTGTCGGCTTTGAACCTGAATTTTCATTATTTTGGCATTTTAAAATTAAATAACTGCAACTGAAAACTAAAAGTTATTTAGTTTTTCACTTTAATGACTTTTAACAATTTTTTAAACAGATTATAAGTTTTTTCTAATGAAGAAAAGTATATTTATAATGAATTATTATTAGCTTATTTAAAAAATAATTTGATGATTACTTTAAAATTATACTAAACTATATATACTTTACTTAAACTTTTACAGTGTAATTAGTAATCAGATTAGATTTTTAAAGTAAGAAAACAACAAGTGTGTTTAAATTTGATGACGAATGTGAAACATTTACTGTTATCTGTACACAGTGTTTACTCTGTAGTATTTTTACTGTGTCTTTGTACATAATGATGTCTGAGGCCTCGCTGGACTGTCAAAATAAAACGTTTTTCACAATAAAATACAGGTTTCGTTCACCAGTTGAAAGGCTGAGGGCGTCTTCATCCGTTGCTGAAACTGACTCAGGAGAAGGAACTCGTCTTCGGACAAACAGACACCCTTTGTCCTTCTGCAGCCACCGTACTGACAGACACAGGACAATAAAGATATAATGAGAGTAAACAAACACAATGACAGTAATTTCATTAAATTTAATCAGATGACTCAGAGGAGCTCACACATTTTAAGAATCTTAATTAAATTATTTACAAATATCTGATGGAGAAAAATATAAAGAAACATTACATTAAACTGATGACTAATACTTAAACTTAAAATGTATTTATTTATCTATAAACAAACTGTATATATATATCTTTATTTATCTATAAACATACTGTATATATCTTTATTTATCTATAAACATACTGTATATATCTTTATTTATCTATAAACATACTGTATATATATCTTTATTTATCTATAAACAAACTGTATATATATCTTTATTTATCTATAAACATACTGTATATATATCTTTATTTAACTATAAACATACTGTATATATCTTTATTTATCTATAAACAAACTGTATATATATATCTTTATTTATCTATAAACATACTGTATATATATCTTTATTTATCTATACACATACTGTATATATATCTTTATTTATCTATACACATACTGTATATATATATCTTTATTTATCTATAAACATACTGTATATATATATCTTTATTTATCTATAAACATACTGTATATATATCTTTATTTATCTATAAACATACTGTATATATATATTTATTTATCTATACACATACTGTATATATCTTTATTTATCTATAAACATACTGTATATATATATTTATTTATCTATAAACATACTGTATATATATCTTTATTTATCTATACACATACTGTATATATATCTTTATTTATCTATACACATACTGTATATATCTTTATTTATCTATAAACATACTGTATATATATATTTATTTATCTATAAACATACTGTATATATATCTTTATTTATCTATACACATACTGTATATATATATTTATTTATCTATACACATACTGTATATATATATCTTTATTTATCTATAAACATACTGTATATATATCTTTATTTATCTATACACATACTGTATATATATCTTTATTTATCTATAAACATACTGTATATATATATTTATTTATCTATAAACATACTGTATATATCTTTATTTATCTATAAACATACTGTATATATATCTTTATTTATCTATAAACAAACTGTATATATATCTTTATTTATCTATAAACATACTGTATATATATCTTTATTTATCTATAAACATACTGTATATATATCTTTATTTATCTATAAACATACTGTATATATATATATCTTTATTTATCTATAAACATACTGTATATATATCTTTATTTATCTATAAACATACTGTATATATATATATCTTTATTTATCTATAAACATACTGTATATATCTTTATTTATCTATACACATACTGTATATATATATTTATTTATCTATACACATACTGTATATATATCTTTATTTATCTATAAACATACTGTATATATATATTTATTTATCTATACACATACTGTATATATATCTTTATTTATCTATAAACATACTGTATATTGGAATAAAGATTTATTGATCTGTTTGTGTTTCAACATGCTGACACTCGTCTGTAGAGTGAGTTTATTGTTGTGTTATCTCACCTGTCTCCCACCTGTGTGTGTCTCTGAGGACAGGTGTGTGTCTGAGGACAGGTGTGTCGGCAGCAGGAAGCGCAGCGTGTCCTCCAGGATCAGGTCTTTGGTGATCTGTCCGTCAAACGTGTGGTCACTCAGAGAGGAGAAGGTCAGATCTGTTTCCACCTGAAGGACAGAGACACTCATCAGTCTGCTGAGGACACGCCGCCCTCTGGTGGACGTTCAGCAGCACCGCACTGACACTGACCTGGAGACAGTATTTCTGATCCCAACAAGGTAGATTTAAAAAATAAAAATTAACAAACAAATAAAATCAATGAGGATAAAAACAATGAACATTAAGAATAAGGAAAGAAATGAATGAAATTTACAAGGAATAAAATAAAATAAATGATGTCAGAAACTGCAGGAGATTAATGCAGTAAACTCTGGTCTCTCTGCACTGTGATATATATATATTACATACATATATATTAATAATATATATATATTACATACATATATATTAATAATATATATATATTACATACACATATATATTACATATATTACATATATAATACATGGAAGATATTTAATA